ACATTTAAAAAGTATTTCTCTTTCTCAAAAATGGCACAGAGCAAATTGAAACGAGCCTTTTCAGAGATACATGGTTAGATCTTACAAAATGATGGTTTGTTTTTCTTGCCAGAAACTCCCACATTTTCTGGGAAAGAATTCAAGTGAAATAATCTTTTTTATGATTTCCCTAGAACATACACCTGGATTGTTCAACCAGCTCCATTCCAAATGTTAATGATGACCTGTAAATATTTCTCCTGTCTGGAAGAAATGACTTTGTAAAAATGGAAGTTACAATTGCATATATAGGAAGAGAAACTTCCAGTAAGATTCTGCACACTAATTTATGAATAAAAGCATACAAAATTTGACAACAGACATATTCAGGCTAGAGAAAAGACACTAACTGGAATTAACTATTGGAACTGTTGCTGCTGGACAGGATAGACTCTCGATAATTTATGGGTTTTAAGTCAAGTCTGGATGCTTCTCATCTCTCAAACAGTGCTTATAGACTTGGTGCTCAGTTCATTGAGTCAAGCTCACTGACATCTCTCCATCCTCAGTTCAGACCCTTTCTAGAGTGGTACCTGGATTCTTCTCCAATGTCCTCAAAAGAGAGAAGGCTTACAAAAAAAACCCTCACACAAGCCTAATGTGAGGGACAGAAGGTGAAAGCTGATGTGTAGAGATATGCTGCCATCGGATTTTGGCTAAGGGTTCCCATAATGGATGCCCAACCACACAGTCACTCATCTTCTTTCATGTGAAGTTGGATAGCAGAGGTTTGATAAGGTTTAGAAAGTGCATGACGTGCCTGCCTGATATAGTTTAGCCTTTTTGACATGTCATTTTCAACTGTGATAGGAAATTGAAAAATACAGGCCAGGTTGCCTGGCACAGTCCTGACTGAGTAGAATGGCCTCCATGAGGGGTTCAGTTTTAGCCATGGATAGACTCCTACAAATCTTCCAGTAGAGGTGCTGTCCTCTTACAGTAGACACAAGCCTACAGAGAGATGATCTTGCTCTTCTGGGTCAAAGACCCCACAGCAATGGTCTCTGGGGCTTGAAAGGTGTGTTGTCCACAGGTGGCAAAGCAATGCTGTGTGAGGAGGGCTGTGTAAGGACTCGAACAGTAACCTTACATTTGGAAGATTCATGTTATGGATCTGAGATGTCAAACTTACTGAGCCTGTTCTTGCAGGATCCCCAAATCCCTGCCCTTCCAATAAAAGCCTTTCCTGACTCCAGGTTCTCCATAAGTAACTCCTCTGGCAGGGAGGTTGGACTTGATGATCTATTGAGGTCCTTTCCAACACCTAACATTCTATGATGCTATGATTCTATGACTCTATGATTCTATGATTCTATGAAACTGGTGCACAATGGCCATGTAAGTAACAAATAAATATTACTGGAAGAAAAGAATTCCAGTTGATACAAAAATGAATTTTCCCATTGATTTGTACCTGAATCTAACTGATCATTTTTTTGGGGAGGTGTGTGTGTGTGTTTTCTTGTAAAGAGGAAGTGCAAGAGAAAACAGGAAAGCTCTCGTGAGCTATGAAAGAAAAAGTAATTTCCCATTATTTTATCATTCACAGGTTGCTTGTCTGTGTCCTTATTTCATGCCCAAATCTCAGTAATCCAGCTGTTGGGCATTCATCTGAGACGCTGACTTTGACATCTACCATGAACTTGAAAATACTCGGATTAAGACTCACCAGACTTTCCTGTTAAGGTAATACTTCACTGAAAAAATGTTATGAATTCTGGTCATCTACATCCTGAGTAAGTGACCATGAACCAGCTGAGAAGAACAAACACATGCTCAAATCCTCAAGAGCTACCATCATCTTTACTCTAGCCCCATTGGTTTCCCTTGATACTGATTCCCAAAAGATAAATCTGATTCCAAAGTATTGTTGCTGAGCAGGTGAGTTGATGGGTGGGGTGGCTCAGGAGAGTTTTCCAGATCTCTGCAGGTTTTTATGCAAGAGGAAAATATTACCTCCTTGGCCTCGAATGCATCCTCATTTATGCTGGCATGATGTGAGAGGAGTGTCACTGACTCAGATTTACACCCGAGATACACGGGTGTAAGCAAGTGAAGGATTGGGCGAACTTTGCCTAAAGCTGCAGTGGATTTGAGAGCCTTCTCCAGCAGCTTAGGTAGCTTTTCTTTCTATCCTTAGCAACACAGTCCTGATTAACCCTCCAAGCTGTGGTCAGTCATTTTGAGGACAGTTTGATTGACAGCAGGTAACCTGCTAACGCTTTTCCCTGCATCGCCCAGTGCATTGGATCCTGGAACTAGTTGGCTGGCTGTGTTGTTTTGTGGTTAATTTGGTTTGGTTTTGTTTTTAATTATTTTGTTGTTTTATTTTTAATCTCTTGGATATTCTATAAGAAAAAATCACCCTGAGCAGGAGGCATGAAGTATTTCAATGTAAGTACAAAAATATGCATTGAAATTCCTCTCTTATTATAGAAAAAGATGTATTTGGGCAAGATGACCGTTTTTATTGCCTTGCCAGATGTACAGTAGAATCCTCTTCCCATTCTGAAACTTCAGATGGACAATACAAAACTTCTTCATGTGGGAAGTGTTTATAATTCGTGCAAGGTTTTTATGGAAGGCTCTTTCTTCACATTATGTACTACTTCATAAGTGCAGATCTCACAGACCATCTAGGCTTGGATGGGTAACCAACTCTATCACTTAAAACTTAAGGGATAACATTCCTTTACATTGGTGATCTCTTCACAAAGTGTTGCAAAATTATTCCCAAAGAAAAGTGCTATTGGGAAATTTTGCCATGATTTGTCCCTTATTATTTTTTTTTTTATACTTCTTTCAATATGATTTAACATCCTGAAAAAAATAGAATAAATCCTTGGCAAACTGTTGGGTTTCTGGGAGCACAGCCAGCATATTGTGGACCACCATTGGTCCAGAGACTCCAATTTGGATAATGGGCTTTTCTGGAAATTATGCTGCCAAAGCTCTAAGGTGGGACTCATGGAGAAACAGTTAAAGCCACCTTTCTGAAAGCTGTTGAAAATTAGAGAACTCAGATTTTTTTGCTTTCCCCTGGAAAATAGAGTGATGGATTGACCTTTAACTGGGAAACAAATAAGTGAATAATTGCTTGGCGAAATATGTACATGGAAAGAACAAATCAAACAGAAATCTTTGTCAGTGTGCATGGATACGAAAAAGTAGAGATCTGTTGAAATAATAATCATTCAAATTGTGCCTCATGTCTTTTCTCACCTAGCTGAGGTTAAACATCCATTTATTGGAGGAGTGAATTTGCTGCAGTACAAAGTGCACAAATACTTCACTTGAGAGTAGCAGAGTAAGAAAATAATGGTTTTGCTCTAAAATGAGGAGAAAAGCTGCATTTACAGCTTTTTGAATGCTGCACCTCTGCAATTGATGACAAAACTCCCATTAATTACAGAGGTCACGGAACTGGCCCTCCAAAGAATAATTTGGGTGTATTGTGGCTGTTTTCTTGAAACTAGAACCTTAGTCAGCTGCTGCAAGAAGTGTAACCAGGAACAAGCTGAAGGAAACATCTATAGTTTTCTAGTTAATTTGTGACCATGAAAAAGATTTCTTTCTTGTGAGAGATTTTTTTTTAAAATTGCATTAGAAAACTGCTAAGAGCTAAGAACAGAATTTGGAAAGTAAATTGGATATAGGTGCTTGTAGCCAGAGTCGCCGTCTGCAAGCTACAAAACAAGTTACTGTGTTCCTTGCCACTGATTCAAATGGTTTTCTGCCTGTCTGTGAGCAGTAATTTCTGATCAGAAGATGACATCTCTAAATGGCATTTTGAGAGTGTCCATTTAAGTTTGAGCAATTAAATCTAAGTGAACGGTGGAATCGCTGTCCATAGCCATGGAATACATATTTGTCATACTCATTGCAGCCAATATTTCAGCATTTTGCAGATAACATTAGTTATTATTTTTCTATGTCAAAACCAGTGTCTTCTTTTCTGGCATTGTAGTTTTATTCCATGTAGGGTGTGAAATTTTAGTGACTGACTTCCAGGACAATGCATTTGATAAGGACAAGCAAGAAAGAGTCCAGTCTCTTTTCCACTTGTCTCCATCGTGGCAAAGACAATTGGTTTCCAAAAGGTGAGGTTCAAGCATCAGACTTGAATACCAAACCAGGTTAACTTTACAAGTGAAGGACATCAACTGGCTCCAGCACAAAGTGAACAGATCATTCTTCTCACATCTGTGTTTACTAGGCTGATATAAAATTTTCCCACTGTTTCTCAGGACCAACGCTTGTAGCTCTGAGATCTTGTGATATTTCTTGCTGTTACTTATTTGCATAATTGCCATGGATTTTCATCCAGACCTTCCCTTAGCACATCATTGAACGACCATGTGCAGCTGTTCTGAAACCAGGCTACTCTGCCCCTCGGAGTACCCAAGGCTGGCCGGGTGTGCAGTATGCAGTCACTACATGAACAAATCCAGTTTTGTTTTGTTGTTTATTATGTGCTTGTTCATGGTCTTAAAGGGTTACATGAAGAATTCAGCACTCTGCTTGTGAAAATAAAACTGAAGTAATCACTGGCTCTGATAGTTTCAGAGAAAACCTCAAAAATATAAGTAAGGAAGACACAAAACTCAAAAGGACAACAATACACAAATACCAGTTTTTGTGGGTTTTGCTTAGGGTCTGACTCATGATTCTTGTGCCTCAGGGGTGACTAACACTGACTGAACTCTCATTGACATCCACAGAACAAGGATGGTTTAACTGTGAGGAGCAGGGTTATGGCTACTTTTTCTGATGTGTTTCCTTATATCTACCTGACCCAGTGAATTCATAATTCCAGGTCTACTCTTGATCATGTATAGGTGGTAAAACTGTTGTCAGGAAAACAAACTTTGCTTCTATACAAGTCAGGAACTGATTCTGCATGGCTCAGACAAACCCTACTGTGATTTTTCTTCTTTTGTAGTTACCTTTAAGCAAGAAGGATGACTCAGGTGCCTGCTGACTACGTGTCAACCACCAGCTCCTACAACTATGAGCAGCCCCTTCCTTCCGTGGCTCGGACGAACGCTCTCACCAGGGTACCTCCAGCCAAAAAAATAACCTTCTTCAAGAGTGGAGATCCTCAGTTTGCAGGAGTCAAGATGGCCATCAACCAGCGAAGCTTCAAGAGCTTCAATGCGCTCATGGATGACCTTTCTCATCGGGTCCCACTGCCATTTGGGGTACGGACCATCACCACCCCACGAGGAATCCATTGCATCAATGAGCTGGACCAACTGGAGGACGGAGGATGGTACCTTTGCTCCGACAAAAAATATGTCAAGCCCATTAACATTGCTTCTGGGGGACACAGGCCAGGTCCTCCACGAAGTGGTCGTCCCTCCAGTACCTTGAGAAGAGCAGCTCAGGAAGGCAAGCTTGAAGATTACTCCACACCTTTCACTCACCATGGCCCCAGAATACCCAAGAAAATCACTCTAGTTAAGAATGGAGAAAGTGGGTTTCGGCGCTCGATTATCTTGAACCGCAGAAATGCCAGGAGTTTTAAAACTCTCCTGGATGAGATTTCAGAGATCCTGCAATTCCCAGTGAAGAAGCTCTACACTGCTGACGGGAAGAAGGCAAGTATCTCTGATACCCGGTGCTGATCTGTTATTCTAACAGGTGTTACCACATCAACGTTTGCACTACCTGAGATGCAAATGCTTTACCTCATAGAGAAAATAGTTTACCCACACTACCTTAATCCTTTGGACCTGTGTAGTTAGTGTCTCATTAGTTACTTCCCCATTAATTACATGAAGGGGTGATGTAGAAGGATCTTGTTCAGCCATTCAAGAATTTCATATATCATATATTGGTTTGGGTCAGTGGGAAGCAACTTCTGTCAGAAGTCCAGAAGCTCAATATTTCTCAGCTTGGTGTTGAATAAACTTCTACTTCTCGTCCTCTCCCGAGTAGCATGTTCCAGCAGAGACTTAACTTTTCTGTACTTAACAACCAGGAATTCAGCAGAATAAGGCATCCCTTAGGTAGCATCTTGGAGTTGCACAGTACCTAACAGAACAGGGTCACACTCATGATGTTCATACTCGGCATTATGAAGACATAACTAATAAATGCATCACTAATTAGAGCATGAGGCACACATTTGTATTGATGATTTGGTGAACTGTGACAACTGGGGTGGACTCTTACGATAAATTTGGGGCATGACAACATTTTTGTTCTTCTGTTCCCAAAGGAATTTCCTGATAAACCTGGAATTCTCCATATTTCTTCTCTATCTCCTTGTAATGTAGTCTAACCAGTACTTCAATTTCTTCTGAAGAGGTCTCATGTGTTAGCATGACTTGTCTCAGGCAGTGCGGCTGAATTGAGCTGTTACCTTGCTCCTTCCTGCTTTTTCCATCTTTATGGTGCTCTGTGCCAGCTCGTCAGCAGTAGTGACACAACCATTTGCGGTGTCGCTTTCTGAACAAGATGACTGAAACGACTTGGGTCCAAATGACCTATTAAAAAAAAAAAAAAAAAGTAAGAGGAATATTTTTAAGCCAAATCATTCTGACCTGGCACAGAGACAGGAGTATGCAGCTATGAAGGAGAGACGGAGAGGATAATTGTCTTTCCTGGTGGAGGTAATATATGTTTTCTGCTATGGCCACCACTCTGGAAAGAGCTTCCTGTTCTCAGCTTGAGGATCCAAGGAAAAAGTCCTTCCTTGTCCTTTTGTATGTCCAAAGAAGAGCAAAGAAGTTGGTAAAGGATTTGAAGAACAAGTGTGTGGCACATACACACTCCACAGGGAGTGGCTGAGGGACCTGAGGTTGTTCAGCCTGGAGAAGAGGAGGCTGAGGGGAGACCTTCTTCCTCCCTAGAACTCACTGACACAACATTGTAGCAAGGTGGGATTGATCTGTTCTCCCTAGTGGTGAGTGATAGGACAAGCGGAAATGGCCTCAACTTATGGCTGGGGAGGTTTAGACCAG